AAATCTTTATAGGAATTAAACATTATCTAAAATAAAACAACTTTTGACTAAAGACGTGATTACAGCGAGAAGGGTGGTTCTCGAATTCATTCATAATCTTCGTTAATAACCAATGTATACACTTTATTATTCTCGGCCGTAATATAACACCTATTCGTCCAGATGATTGCTAGATGCAATCGAGACAAGACACATTAGATGCAATTGAGTCGTGTATTACGGAAATAAAAGCGTTAAACCGAGCATTACTGCGAAAAATCTACGTCTGTCACTCAAAGTAGCTTTGGAGACAAAAAATAAAAAATTTTAATATTAAAATTAAATACCTTATTTTATGAGCGTATAAAATAATATTAGGTGTTGAAATTAATTCGTAGCGTTTTTTAATGAAAGAATGTTATTTATTTCACATGAGCATTAAAAAATACATTAATGAAAGTACTTCCCATCACTTGTAAAACGCTACGAATTAATTCCAACACCTAATACTAAAAATAATTTTGTTTGGCTATGAAAATAATTATATAGGAGGACATTCAAACTGATTGTTAGAGTGTCAAAACTTTTTGCAACAATGCTCATCATGCATAAATTCCTTATAGGGTAAGTGGGAGGAATATGTCACACTAAAATTAGATTTTTGAGTAATTATTTGTTCAATTTAAAGTAATTTTACATACTGATCTTTTTCTTCCATCCTTTATCTATTATTTGTATTATTATATGATTGGAATCGAATATTTTCATTTTTTATTATTAAAAATAAAGAAATACGAAAGTGCTGAAAAATAGGTAATATGCCACCATACGGGTAATATGCCACAAAAAAAAATACTAATTATAATATTTATTTTGTTTTTTTTTATTGCAAGAACACATTATTAATGATTTTTATGATGAAAATAATTATTTGTAACACAATATAGCTAATATATACAATATAAGAATATAAGTAATAACTTCGATGTAAAACTTCGATGTATGTTAAATTATATAACATGTAAAATAAATGTTGAGACGCGTTTTTAATAGCATATCTTTCGTCGAACAGTCCTCATGAATCCATCTACTGCAACAATTAGATATTATTCAATTACATTTTGAACTATTTTTAGAAGTAAAAGTATGTAATGTGTAAGTATGAAATATATAAATAAATATTTAGTTTATTTTATTTATATTTACACAGTGTTACAAGTAGTCTAAGCTATTAATAATCAAGAAAATTCAATCCATTAAAATTTAAAAATTGTATTCTCTATTCAGAATTTTGAATTGAACAATAAATTAATATAATACAATAACAAGCAAATAAATAAACATTTAAGTTTAATTATTTGTCAATACAGATATCCTTTCACAATGAAATTATGCGACAAAACGTTTGTTTATAGCGCCCTAATCTATACAGGGTAAACCAGAGTCGTCGAATCAGCTTTTTACTCTATGAAAATTATCGACTGCACGCATGTTATAATCCAATAGATATGAAATCGATAATTTTCTCATGGGGTAAAAAGTTGGTTCAACGATTCTGATTCACCTTGTATATTAGAGAAAATAACTACTGGCATTTTACCCTAACAAAAGTAGTGACATATTGTCCCAAGATGCCATTTCATCTTATGATGAGCCTGTACAATATGAGCTGTACTGCTATTAAGAAAATGAATCAACGATATACTGAATATTTTCATTTTAACCTATACTAATAGGTTAATAAGCTAATTGAGCTAAATATTGTGTAATAATGTTTAAATAATAACTTACATAAAGCACTATAAAAGTTATAAAGAACATATACTATGTCATCATATTTACCTTATAAAAACAATGAATTTGCCAGGAAATTTTTGATACTTATGTAACACATTAAGTACGTAATTGTAAATAACTTTATGGCACTGACGCTGCTAATCGGTATCATTGTCAAACACGAGTGGCATATTCCCCCAACTGATGTATTACTCGCAGTGTATTACTCTATGGTTATTTTGGTCCAAGAAAATTATTTATTTACAGATGTAATATCTAAATTTATAAATACTAACGAAGTCATTTTTTCCGTGTATATGTACTTCCATCACATGAATTAAATGAATAAAAATGAATGGACTAAAAGGATTATTTTTATTAATTATTTAATTATTTTATTTTTATTAATTAGTTATATCATAACTTGTGATGTTACGTTCTATTACAATCTTTCTTTTAAAAACAGTCGGCGCGAAGCTCTTATTAAATATAGGTTTCAATCTCATTAGTGCAAATCTTAGCAAGGAAACTCATCGCGGCTACATAATCGGTTGTTTCTACGTGCAATGAGGAAAAGCGTGGACACAATTTAATATTACTAAGAAACTGCATAAATAACGCACTTAAATACCCCTGCATACTTCGAAACGCATACCATGAGAATGAACTTTTGCAATACCCGCACAACATGCTGCATTAATAACTTCAGTATTGTACTAGAATAAGGTACTTACGTTCGTCCCCGCATAAAAAATGCGGGAAGAACTCTTGTAGTTCGACGGCAACTTCGAACCATCTCAGTAAGTGATTACCGATACAGCACCTGAGGGTTCTCGCTTGAGATTCTCCAAGGGATCCCGCAGGTATCTATACCTCTCTAGTGGAGAGATTGGAAGTTAGTTTTAACGTGTCGTATATGCGCTGCTTACGTTTATGCATTTGCGCTGTTACTAAATGTACCAAGTCGTATCAATGCGCTGGTTACTGCAAACTTTTGAGAATGCTCGATGCGGAAAACGCCGCCGGCGTCAACATTTGGATGGAATCTCAGTTTCTCGGGAATCTCGCCGTTTGTTGCGAGCGAGATCGGAAACAAACAGCAGCGCTATTGCAATATCTAACGTAATGTGTCCGCTTAAATATTTGATTTATCTGAAATCGATATACGGCAACGATGGATTTGACTCCGTCCCTTGTGAACGAACATTTTGCGAAAGCCTTATATCTGTTAAAGCCATTCCATAGAGATAGTTTTTTCTTCTTAGTTTTATTTCTGTCGTTATTCATATTTGATTTATCTATATATGTCTAGTCAAACGGTTAAAATGTGATTATGGTTCCTGAATTATTTCATGAATGATGATGAGTTTATTCTGAAGATAATATAACAAGCGGTTAATACTAGTTGAAAATTTTATAAATGTTTAAAGTGATTAACGATACACTGTCATTTCAAATTTATTATGAATTATAGTACAATCTGAAAACTAGTATGTGGAATTCCATGTTTGCTTTTCATCATGACATCCTCAAATATTTATTGCTTTCAATAATTAATGTACAATCTAATGCGTACATTCTAATTTTGCACAATAATGATTAATTATTCGTGATTATTCTAATAACTGTTAGTATTGCTTTGATTATCATTATACATATATATGCAGAAATTTATTCTAAATGCTTCTGGTAATGAAATAAATACATATTGCGCAATTAGATTAAATTGGCTTGTTATTAAATTAATCCATGCTTTTATTTTTTAGCATTTTTTCTTATTCATCTGTTGTCAAAGTATTTGCACGGAAAAACCGTAATTTTGCTAAAGTTTTTAAAAATTCACATAAATCTGAAAATAATTTTATTGGATCCAAATAATTATGTAGAAAATTCAAGCATGATGAAGAGCAATATTGCAATATTGACATTCTACAATCATACAATTTGAGCATCTTAGAAGAGACCGGGACTAGTTCTCATACGGGATTGATTGTCAAAATGCTTATAACTTAAACAGGACATGACAAGAAAAATTTCTTTTTTTTAGATTGCTGATATAATATTAATTTGTTGTGTAAAATAATTTACCACAAGCATTGTATATATTATTTATAGTGATTTTTAAGAAAATGAAGTTGGTGAGTAAATTTTTCTTATCACTTATTTTGTTGTCTGACAAGTCATTATTAACCGCAATATCTTTGTATACATAGAAAATGATATGTCTTAAAAGATCTTTGCTATAATTAATTTATCATAATCCTGACAAAGTTTGTGAATACAATCTCTTTTCTTAGAAATGGCTGTAAAGAGTAGATTGACCAAAATGAGACGAGATTAGGTGACAATTAACTTTAATATCTCTCTCTTTAGAAAACACATTTTTAGAGAATATATTTACAAACATTATATTTCATATAAATATATATGTTTTTTTATTTTTTATATAGAAACTAAGGTACAAAAAAATAAATTACATATCTTATGATTAAAATAACTTTTATTTGTATTAATAATTACTATTATTTCTCAAAATATAAAACTAGTATTAAAATAAAAATTATATTTTTTATATGTGTTGTTCGTAAAAAATATGCTACTGCCAATCATAGAACGTGTGACAATCAACACAAGGGGTTAATTGTCACAGCTTTATTTAAAATTAAATAACTTATTTTTACGATATGATGAATTCATGAGTAATATTTTTTTTAATATCTAAGGAATATAGGTATATTATAACGTATATAATACAATATTTTAAAATCAGACATCCACTTTTTTCTAAAAATTATTAATCAAAAACTGTGACAACCGGCCCCAGTCATCCCTATAATTATTTCGATAGTCCAACAAAATTTATCTTCAGAGTTGTATCTAATTTTTAAATATTTCAGTAAAATCGTTCTTTCTGTGTAATGTTACAAAAACGTGGATTACTAAATTCATAAAAAAAAATCTGTGATTGAAATAAAGATAGGAAGTTATGGTGCCGTTATTTTATTATAGATTATTGTGCCGTATATATATTTCTCTTACACACAAATTCCTCGAGAAAATGAAAGAGAAAAGAGAAAGTCAGAAACAGTATACGAGGGAGGAGGAGAGGGGTGGGGGGAGAGAGAGAGAGAGAGAGAGAGAGAGACGCAGATGATGATGTAAATTTTCCATTCGCTGCATCCCTGACCGCCTAATCCCCGTCTGCAAAATAATTTATATATGTATGCGGCTTTCTTGGGTTTCAGGAGAGCATCCGGCGGCTATGCAACACGGGAACTCTAGCAATAGCGGCGCGGCCACGCGGACGCTTGCGTTGCTCCTGTTGCTCCTGCACGCCGGCTCCTTCGCGAGGTGACTGGTCGATCACGAGACACTGCAGTAAGAGAGTAACGGCCCATAGTTTCACCCAAACAAGATCGGGACGACGACGAGGGTGGTGCGGAAAAGGAGAGACCAGGAAGGGAAGGACGAACAGGAGCACCATCCGCGCTAACCATCATCTACTAGACTCTATAAATCAGCTCGATCTTCTTTCCGCATTGCAATTGGCTCGCCAGGATAGGAAAGTGCGCGGAGAGAAAACAGAGAAGACAATGTGAGGCAACTGTTAGCAGCTGCAACCGCGTGTAAGAGAGCTTCACTGGCTTTGCTCTCGCTTCCGGAGCACGAACTCGGGGCCGGCCCTGTCCGGCTCACGTTTCCTTAAAGCAACTTTCGTGCCCCACATGTTCTATGTCTCACCGTACTATGCTGCAACAATCGAAAATAGCGACGTGTAGATCCGAGACGATGTGTGAATACGGGAATGTGTAAACTAGGTAACGACAGGGTGAATTCTCTTCTTGAGAATAAGCGACGTTCCAAAGGACGAATGATTTCTCTCATGTCGACATTCGCGACGGCGGAATTAGCATTTCTTTTCCCCGGGCGCGGTAGATCGCGTAGATAGCGTAGATCGTGGAGATCTATTGGCGAACACAGCTGACTGTCGTGAATTTCAAGAGGTAAGAACCAACGTGTTTTCGTGTCCGGACGGACTAACCAGGCGACCCACATACGCCGGCAAAACCACTGGAATTCCACTCAATTTCTGGTCACCGGATGCGGTATGGCTTCTTCCGTCGAAGAGAACAAATATTTTGAGGTTTACCGTACTTATCTCGGTTGCGCAAACTTCCGAGATATGTGTGTACCAATATATGCCGCATCATACGAATGTCTCATAAGCCGCCGGATGTGCATTTCGACCTCCTTGAAAACTTTACGTCACCGGCTTTCGAATGCAATTTCTTTTCAATCGCGAATGCGCATATATGTTACAATCTCATATTAGAACATTGCTTTTACTATTAGAATATTGAGACACTGAGTTCAAAATGCATATTTTAAATTTTGTTTCAATGTACGAAGTAATTATTTCATATCTTTGAAAAACGTAAAATATCTGATTAATTTTTATCTCTGCGTTACCAAAGTTATTGTTATTGTTGTTATTGTTACTGAAGAATACAACAGCGAAGAAAATAAATCGTGCAGGTGAGAGAAACGTTATAATATAAATTTGTTATTGTAAAAATTGCACATCTCTCTCGGGCTACTTGTAAGACCGGCAATTTTTCTTGCCTCGAGGGTTTTAGCACTTCTTCGGAGTTGATTCTTGTGCGCGAAAGTTTCGTCGAATAAATATTTCCCTCAAAAACGTGCCCGCCGTCTACTACGGGACTAGCTAACGGAATCGGCTACGACAATAATCGATTTTCGCCTTTCGCGAGAGACGAAAAAGCCACTGAAGTATCTCTGAATTATGCGGGCCCGAGCCATGCGGAATTCGTAGCTTTGGCAATGGAGGACGCCCGCAGTTTCGCCCGGGCGTTCCATTTGCATCTCAGGACACCGAATTTACGAGCCCGAGGGTCGTCGATCCTCAACTACGGCCACGAGACTGTCGCGTATCCGTGTGCGTATATGATAGACTCGATAAGTTATATAACTAAGCTCGACGTACCGTCGTTCATAAGAGGGAAATATCAGCGTAGTCGATACGGAGTTTAGCTGATATGTTTTCTCACCATTATGCTAAGGCGGCTCGTTATATCCGCGCGTTTAATTGGAAATATTAATTTCTCAAGCATAACAAGAAGTCATCGTGACATTAACATGATGTTAAAATGACCCTAAATGAGCCCCATTTTAATATCAGTCACGATGTATTTTGACATCATTTTGACACGTTATTATGACATGTTGTTCTGTTTGAGTTCATGCGATTATTTTCTCTCACAGCTAAATCAAAACTATTCAATTTTAAATTCGATTTTACTTTCATACAGATTCATTCCTTTACATGTATAATATTTATTTTTCTTTCTACGCATTAAGGATATTGTCATGGTTTGATCTTTTAATCTGTAGCATTTCGTATGTACCAAATGTATATCAAATTAATTGCATTCCCGTCCGAGATGATCGAGATTATATCACGTCTACGGTCGGCTTGTGCGGTCGCAGTTAACGCAACCAGCTGACGCGCCCGGAATGTTCTTCGAATAAAGTTCCGCCCGGCGTTCAGTTGCGGCATCCAAGCAGCGTCGACCCGGGAAATATATCAGTCGCGGAAAGTGACGGAAAGTTTACTGCGGGGAAACGGAAACTACGACACAGTTACTACGGATACGATTAATTCGATGCGCGTGCTAAGTCCTCGGATTTCACCTGATCATTCAATGCCCTGATAGGAGGAAGCTCCGGATTTTGAGTCATGATTTCAATCAGGTGTCAGAAATCCGCATGCGTCCGAAACCTTTGAATATTTCAACTCGCCATTATCTCTGATCTGTCTAGTGGTTCAATTCCCCGAATTATTCGTGCGTTTGAGTGCGCATTCGACGCGCGATTTAACTGTGTCAAAACTGAAAGATTTTGCGTGAAGCTGACACATCGAGATCGTCGAGTGATACTGCTAAGAGGGCAGATTGATGTGAATGCAGGAAAAAAACGCTACGGAAGCGAGACTATGGTGTTCCGGATTCCCGACGATGGGAAAGCACGGTGCGGACGACGCGCGAGGAACAAGCGCGCGGATTCGTGCTCGCTAAAATTAAGCTTTAAGTGATTAAAGAATCGTATCATACTCGTGGTCTATCCGTGTATACGTCTTCATAGATCTCCGATCGCGAGTGGGTCGGTCATGTCGTAACAAGGGAGGTGCGTATACAAACGTGACGGCAGTGTGCGATGTAAACCGACTGTTGTTACGTGCTAACAGTGCATTATTTTTGTGTTATATTTTTAAGAGATGTATCATAAAATGGGATGACTTTGATCTGAAGGATCTCAGGATAGTTTTGGCGCAAATTTTAATAATGCACTACACATAACATATGTTAACTCGGACATAAAACGTCTTAAAAACGTCAACTCGAAAATCACCTGGAATATTTTTATATCACAGTGGCAAAAAAATATGAAGTATTGTAAAATATAATTGTTTTGTATTAATATTGTTTAACATATTCTTTTTTTTTTTTAATAATTATTCTTTACTTTTAAGTATACAATTCTACGAAAACCTACAATAAAAAACCTTACATTAATTAAAATTTATTTTTAAGAAATACATATTACATCATAGTAAGTCACTTAACGTACTTATTCCTTTTAATATTTATTTGGTGTCTATTTACTGTTTTTAAAAATTATGATTAAATTTATATTCATAATGTTCTCAAATATTAATAAATCGGGAAACAATCTATAATATATAATATGTTGTTAATAATAGTTATTGGGGTAAAAACACCCCAAGTGATCTTTTAAAAAATTAGATGACTACAGCCGGGTTAAAATTTTTTAAGATGTCTCTTTAATTTTGGGTATGATAACTCTAAGCATTTTTTAAATTTGGATCAAAATTATCCCGACTAGGCTAAAGTTGCCATATTTTACATATCGCTATACAATATTCAAAACAGCAAGAAAAATAGAATATGATTGGAAAGATCACGATGAAAATAGTGAATTATTTATTCGAATTTCTTCGATATTGTTCCATAAGCTAGAAAATCATACATGGTACATGTTTTACGTAATACATTTTATACTGAGATTTGCTAAATTCAGGTCACAATGTAAAAATGAAATTCAAGTACCTACCAATAATAATCTTCTCTTTTTGCTATAAATAAAACTCTCCTTTTATAATGACATGTCTCTATTGGTATATTTGTAACATGTACAAAGATTTTGGAGCACTCTGCTACAAAAGAAAAACGTACGAGAAATGTAATGATATAATGACATTAATTTGTCGAAATTGTAACGCGTTGAAATGTATAATGTCGTGATGGTTATTAACATCAAATATGAAGATATCTATTACGTCTATATGATACCAAATTTTGTTAATCTACATGCGCATGACAATTGGATAATTTGCTAGTTTAAACATAATTATGTTATACGTAATTACCCTTATTTCTGTTACTCATACTTATTTTCGAATTTGTATTATTTTTTTAATATGTATCACGAATTTTAACCAGCGATAATAAAATGATAAAGAAATGGTAGAGAAAAATGATAAAATATACAAGAGAATTTTTTCGACGGTCTCTATTCGCTCTATTTTTCTGTCGAGCAAAAACGTTTTCGTGCCGAATACTACCTTAAGAATTCGATACGTCTCAGATACGCATTGTCAGCAGCACGATCGACCCACGAATAGTCGTACTGTATATACCTTCTTGAATGTAACGATAAACGATCGCTGTAACTCTCTTTGGAATGATTAAGAGAATCACGATGTAATTCTTACTAATTCACACTCTCAGATCGAGTGCTTCGTTATCTAAAACGCAGTCAAGACTTTTGTCATCAATCAATATTATAGTATCGATGATTGTGGCCTGCCAAAAAAACATTCTGGATGCGCTTCAGCGAGTGAACTTTATCACTAAAAAAAAAGTGAATCGGTGAGAATTTAAAAGAAAGAAACTTTATATCGTAATATAAAATATTCGGTTGCCATGATTATCGTGCTCAGTGAAATCAATTGATACGATGAAAATAGAGAGATCGTTTAAATCATCGAGCGAATCATTCATCGAGAAAAATTAGGAAACGACTCTCAAAAAAAAAAAAATTAGCGAAGATGCAGTACAGTCTTGTAAATAAAAAGGATTTGATTTTCGATTGCATTAACGTCACGATTCGCCCGTGTGAACCAGGGGTGCACAAAACACGAAGAACCCTTCACTCTTTCGCCCGTAACTTAATTTTCCTCCGATACGCAAAACACGCGAAGCACCGCGCGAAGTGCGAACATATTAAATATTAATCCCTCCGCTACCAAGTAACTTTACTTTCTAACAAAATTATAGGGAGAAAAGTGCGCCGAGAGGTAATATCAGAAATTTTGCTGAGATAGTGTGGAGGGGTTGGATGATCTGACGCGAAACGCGATAAAATTTTGCGCATCCCTGAGTCTAATATCTGGTAGCGACCGAGAGATCTCCGTTACGAGAAGGAGAAAGCGCGCGACGTGGTTGTATGTTCCTGGAGAAGAGTTCCCGACAAGACGCGTTCCTGACGATCGATCGTTCCATCGATCGTTGTCGGGCACGAGTTCTGCAAATTCACCATCGCATTTCCCCTTTTCTCCCTCCCTCCTTCCCATCACATCTCTCCTGATTCCCGTGCTTTTTTATACGCCGAACGAGATCTGTCCTCGTTAGTACTTGTAAATGGCTTTCGCGCACGCGGGTGTCGCTAATTCTGCTTCTGTATATTTCGGAAATGATATAAGAACATGACTCGAACGCGGGCGCGGATTAATTGGCTCCCGTTCGAGTCGCAGACGAGCGAGGACGACTGGTAGCAAATAAGTTTAACCTGATTGTATGAGATCAATTACTTGTTAGCACACGAGCGATCAGCGATACGCTCTTAGCGACACTACTCGAAGGATGTTAAACTATCGAACGTACCATTAATGTATATATAAACGAGCAGTACCGATTTATTGTTTATGTTGGATCCAATTGTACCAGAATTCCTAAAGACAATTAAAGAAGAAAAAATAACGATTATTTGTGAGAGATATTGCACATAAGTATACGGAAGAATTCTCATTCCGCAAGCCTCTGCTACGCATCCATTTTTCCCTATTTAAAAATCCGCACGAAAAATTGGATCATTTATTTACATAATGTTTCGTCTCGACAACTGTCACATTTTTAATTAAGTCAGGTATTCGATTCAATTCATTTTAAGAACCACTCTGCGTGCATATAAAGCAAGAATTGATAAGTTGTTAACAATATCGAAAGGATTCTTTGTTGTACAGAAACGAAAAATGCGAAA